AAGTCCTTCAAAGATTTCTAATCCTGTTGCGCCCTCTATAGGACCAGCGACGAGTCGATGTTAAGCTTAAAGCGTCATGGCAGAGCATTGAAGTCGACTAGTCGATTAGTCGGTGCAACCCCTACTAGTAATATCATGTTTTTGGACATGATAGTGTCATGATTGAGAAAATGCAGAGGCTGTCAGTGTGCTTCACAAAAAGTAATTCAAAATAATTCTGAACAAGTGTTGTTAATATGCCATGAAACACAAGTGTTGAAATGTTGAAACTCCTTCGAGCAAATGGCACTAAGGTTTAACCATACAGCACAATGTTGTAATTAAACCAGTCCATCTGTGTTTTGGATTGTTTTTCCCCAAACCATGCAAAAAAAAAAAGAATTCTCCAAATGTAGCGGTGGGCATCCAGATGCAATGAAAACAGAGGAATTCAATACATCCTTGAGGGCATAAACACCAGACACAATGTGTGCGTCCAGAGTAGAAGAGGGAATCTTGTAAATGTTTGGGTTTACATGTTAACAGATCACAGAGATGCATAACAATAGATTATAACACCATTTTAATTAAATTACACAAACAGTTAAAGGGCTAAGTTAACCAAAAAATAAAATTCTGTAATAATACTCACCCTCGCGTCAAACCCGTATAAGTCATATGATGAGTTTGGAGCAACATGCTGGTGAGTAAATAATGTCAATGTTTCATTTTGAATATGCATTTATTTATTTATTTATATACACACACACATCATTCTTACTGCTCAATGCGCAGTACGACTTCTGAGAGCTGGCCAATCAAAATATTTACACAAGGATCATGTCTAGCATGAGAAACTGCCATACTAAAACTTTTTTCCATTTGTTTTTTGGCAGGAGGAAGAAAAACAGAAGGGTGTAGAGGGGCGGTATTGTGGATTGACTGGCTTGAACCGTGATTCAGAGTATGATTGCTGTCATTCCAAAAACGCACATAAATTTGGCTTGAATTTTTGCAGCCATGTGGGATAATTGAACATGGCGTATGCTTTAACACTTACCGATGACACTAAGCAGTCAAGTATGTGAATCTTCCTGGAAACCGTCTGATTGTCATCGATCATTTGTACAGGGGACTCATGGGATTTCATGCCAAAGGGAATAGATAGCTAGTCCAGAGCACACAAAGTTGTGGATCAAGAAAAGCATGGGGTAATAATGGCATTGAAGGGGGGGAAGGTTCACAGTCTAGGTCATTTTGGTGGGATGGATTTTGTAGGACGGAACAGGACATAACTTATGTAATTTGATATTAAAGCTTCTAGTTTTTCAGGTAATTCGGTGAAAACCAGGTATTTTAGCAGTTATTTGTTATAAAATCTGTAACACAAAAACATTAGCCAACGATAGCCAAACCTTTATGACTTTCCTCTGTGAATCCAGAAAGTCCAAACAGCAGTTGACCCCATTGACTCATTGTATGGATTAAAAAAACAGACATTTTTCAAAATATCATGTTTTGTGTTGCTCAGAAGAAACGACATGTGGTTGAACAAATGATAACAGAGTTTTCATTTTTGGGTAAAATATCTTTCAGATCATTAGTCTAGATGCTTAACCATGAAACTACCACCTCATGTGGGACAACCCATATGAAACTCGAGCCTCAGCATCTTTTGAAGTCCCTCAGCATCTTCTCTCATAAATGTTTGAAATAGAAATGAGTTTTTAATGACACTCATTAACATGCCTGTATGTAAGCTGCCTATTTCCATGACCCAGATTGGAGTTCAACCTTGATGGTCTGTGCACAAATAGACTGCAACCATCAATATCATATGCATTAACATAATTTAATAAGATTTATCACATTGCACATTGCATAGAACTTAGTCATAACAAGAAACAGACCTAATATCCATACATTACAGACAATAACCAGCTTGGTATGTAGCTTAGTCAGGGTCAGGCCATCGCTTGAATGCCAGAGTCTTCCTCCAAAGACTCTCTAACATGAGAAATTCGAAAGCATTTCTATGTGCATTTATGCGAACTCTACCGTATGTTGTATATTAAGAGTGATTTGTGAGCTCCTTGATTGCACAATTTTCGTTCTGCCTTTTGTTTCTCATGGTTTATGATTCTGCTGTTATCTGGAACTGAATCTCTGGTGAATAGCGCCTGAGTCATAGACTTCACTCTTAAATAACGTTCACGAAATAGATCTCAGGGGGTCTCAGCTGTAAATGAACTCTGCCCCCCTCAGTGTGAACCACACAGAGCTCATACACACCCACACACAAACACATCACCCCATCAATCCATACTGGAACAAAGCCACAGATGACAGCACTCAGAACATTAATTAAATAATGTTGACTTGAAGCTTTCTTGTGAAAAATCGCCACCTTTATTCTGCTGTTTAAAATATTATTACCCAATACCAACACATCCACAAAGCAGGGCTGATGGGAATTTTATGTGGTGCTTACTAAGGCAAAGATCACTATAACTATTTCCTCATACTTGGGGTTTGGGACCCTTAAATGTAAATATTACAATAATGTAAATACTACAAACATGAATTATACTTCAAATTGTCCTGATGTTTGAGAAGAGATGTTCTGCCTAATGGTTTTTGCCTGTCAGATGATACAACAGGTGGACAAATATTGTAGATTTGTATTCCAATGAGCCATACTTTAGAATATCATAGAGAATATCACATAGGTCTGGTAAATAACCACCTAGCAACCACCCAAAAGAGCTTAACAGCTGCATAGAA